GGTTGGTGGCTTCTTTTCAAAATGAGTGCTGTAGATGTTGTGAATTTGTACTATAAAGCAAACAATAAATACGGCCATTGTAACATCAATCTGTATCATGGAGTGTACTCTACTGACATTAAATCACCTAAACTACTGTATAAACCAAGCTTGTTTTAAATTTATGTTGTTTTTTGAAATTAATTTATATTGTATATACTGTACTATCTCGAAAAGAATCCCATAGGCTTCTTTTCGAGACTAATTTTGCAAACTAAAGAGGGGGTTTCAATTCGAGAACGGCTTCATCTCGAGATTAAGCCCACTGGGCTTCAATTCGAGGTTTTAAGGTATGCATAATTATTGATTTTTTAAAACTGTCTTCATGGTACATTGATCCATTCACAGTGATTATTCTCCGTTTGCCGACGCCATCCCTGGGGACTTAAGTTGGGGGTCCCTCACGCATTGTCTGTTACAAATGTAAATATTGTATTTGTACGTACATACAGTGTTTTGCTGTCTTTGTAATTTGTTATAAAGGCTTGCCAAGACACGACATGGACATGACATCCGTGACGGATGGGGACCCACACAAGGTCCCTAGCTTTTCAAAAACCTCCCAACTGGATTTGTCTATTTGTGGAGAACCAAAAAACTAAGGCCTAATCATTAGTAATGGCAGTGGCCTGTAAAACTAATTCATCAGAAAACGGATCGAAGGCCTATACACTCTTTCAAAATCAAGATAATACCTTGTATGACGTCAGCAAATTGGCCTTTTATATAAAAAAAGACAACGACCACTAAAACCTTTATTATCATAGTAGTCGTTAATTGTCAGACTAGATGAAGGTGTCAATGGTAGAATGGAACTTTTGTCGCCGAACGAGTATGCGATGACAATTGGATCCTGTTAATTTTTTGTTGACGCATCTAGGCCTATCCGTATTCTGCAATAAGCACCGGCCCGTTTAATACTAAACATTATTTCCACTAAACACAAAATAGTGTAAAAAACCTAGTGTAAGAGTGGTTCGCTTATACGTATTGATTTTTTCTTTTTATCTAGAACACGCGGTAAATACCTGAACTGATAAGGCTACGATATACTCTGTTATTTGACTAGCATTGTTGCGTGTAAAAATAAGCTAAGCTAGGGTAGCCAAATTTCTCCTCTCGATTTGAGAAAAAATATTGTAAGTTAGAAAGCTCATCCAAACCAATTTGTTACTGCTGCCTCTCTGTTATGCATTTGAAAGCAGTTCCGACAAATTCTGGTCAATCTTGATGAAAAAGGACAGGGTTAAGTACCAGAATCAGTAATTTTGGACTGGACTGGACCAGACTAAACTGCATTCACATCTTGTATCCGAACCGAGATTCGGACCGCGTATTCGATGCGCTGAACGACGTCAGCGTCCCTACTTTTAGGCCTAAGTTCTGTTCACACTACTACGTTGGATACATCACATTTATTTGTCACATTACTAAAATTCAATAGTGTGGACAAGGCTTTACATATACTGATTCGATTTTCTGATCGGTTCGGTGTAAATGCACCTTAAATCCTGCGCCTTGAAGTAAACCTGTAGACCCCTAGAGGCCCATACAGCTCACAAGTTCCACTACCGTATTTATTCTAATAAACGCCCGTTGTTGAGAAGGGTTTTTGAGGGGAGTTTATTCGAGGGAGACGTTATTTATATTGGTGTAAAATAGATACGTATATAATCAAATAATCGCCCCTTAATGTTACTGTAATTTGGAACTACAATACTGTACATAAAAACCATCAAAATGTGTTATTGCGTGATCATAAAGACTTTTTGATCCCAACCAGGTTAGAAAAACATAGAATTCTACTGGAGTAGAACATCAATAAAAGGTGTTAAAATGATGTTGCTGTCATTAGTTTTGATTACTGTAATTAAGGGACGTTTATTCAATAAAAAAGAAATAATAAACGGAGGGTGCGTTTTTTTTTTTGTTTTTTTTTAGAGGGGCTCGTTTATCAAAGTGAGGCGTTTTATTCGAATAAATGCGGTAGGCATATACGTATGGCCTATGAGGTATAGGGCAGTAATTAATTTTCTTGTGTTAAAGTTAAGCGTGGTATGTGCTATCATATGATCACTACTGGTGTTGAAGGAAATAAATACAAATTGCTCTTAATACGTTATATGTGGAAAAAACAGAAAACTGTAAATTCTGTAGGCAGCCTACATCTTTATTACGTTTTTCGTTCATGTTTTATTAGACATTACAAAATCCAACAAAACTGTTTATTAAAATGCAAAATAGCTGTGAAACTACTAGGGGCGCCCGTCGATATATTTGTACTGTACCTAACCAACAAAATCTATAATTTACCCCGGAATTTACCACTATCATTTTTTTAAATAAAAGTTTTAAACAGGACCTAGTAAATACGATATTCAATTACTTCCCAACAAACAGTGACGTATCCGGTATTCTTTAAATGGGGGATGGGGCGATGGAGGAGGGGCCGAAGGTAAAATAGGGGGATCGATGATTCAAGTGAGGATGCACTAGCTCGCAAAACAGGGTAATATGATGTGATTTTTATTGACTGGCTGAGTGAGATTGGTGATCACCCCCTACACACAACTGTCAATAAGAGAATCAATAAAAAAAAATCGCTTTACACATCCAGAGAAATATAACGCGTTTTACTCTAACACACGAAACGCTATGCGTCTATACGCAATTAAAGCCAATCGTCGGCAGGAACCACACAAAATTGAACGTGTCGCAACCACGCAAAAGGAATTAATGATGTCGAAAACAGAGCTCTGGCAACATTGACCGGAGCGTCCAGTTCTCTATCCTTTGCGTTTCGCAAAAATGTGGGGGCCCGCACAACGAGTCTTTACCTATCCAGCATAATGCATTTATAATTCTGGGAGACAAGGTTGAAAGTTCGCACTACAGTTCCCAAAGGAATCAATTGCGATTTTTTTTTCGCAAGAATTTGGGAACGTACTGAGTAGGGCAAGTAGGGCAAAACATCACTCCTACAAGCTTAACTTACTTTATAGTCAAAAAGACAAATTTCAAAGGCATATAAATTTGAACAAAATAAATATATCACTTTAAGCCCATGGTTAAGACCATAAGCCAAATAATTTATATTTTAGCTGAAATTACCAAGCAGGCATATTCCTATGGTTTCTTTAAAAAATGTATTGTAAACAAGACGACCAAAAGTTTCTTTTTAATATTCCTGTTGGATTTGTCAAAAAACACGTAACGTTTCAATCAAAAGTTTGGTTCAACTTTCCAAACTCTGTCAAGTGTCATTTCCGTTGAGCCTCGCGATACACATCATACACGGCATCCAAAGAAAAAGAAGCGGAAAAAATGCGTACGGTACTTCATAAGTCCTACATTAATGTAAGACTACCGTATATACCTAGAATCACACAAGCACAAATCGCTAACAGCGGTTCCCAAGTGTTTGGCTGACGACTCGAGCAAACATCCAGGCAACTTTCTGCGACCCTCAAAATGGACCAATAACTGGTCAACAAACTTTTAAAATTAAAACTTAGACCAAGGAGGTTAATTAGACACTTAGAATTCACTCCCTGTACTACGACATATTTTAGAAAGATAACTAAATTTTAGATTTTTTAAAATCCTAAAGAGTCTCGCGACCCCTGAATTTATTTTTGCAACCCAATCGGGGGTTGCGATCCATTGAGAACCGGTGCTCTACAATCAACCGCACGCACACACTGCTTCTTCAGTGTAAAAGGAAGCTAGCCATTAAAGAGAGCATAGGCCCCTAGATCTGTGGTATAATGAACTAAGGTTCTTATCAAAATGAATTACTTTAAAAATATTGGATTTTTAAAGTAATTTTTCTATTGCCATTAGGAAATTTCTCTTAAAAAAAACATTGATTTTTCTATGTCATTAGGAAATTTTGTTAAATTTATCTAAAATTTCACTTAAAAAAATTATAGTACTTGGCCTACTTCAATTTTGTCGTTTAGAATACTTCATTGTTGACGTCCACGTGTTGATTGTCCTATTAAGTTCAGTATTTTAGGTTAAATTAAAATATGTTTAACATATATTGCTTCGTTAGGCTTGATTCACATTGGTGTCACATGACTGGAGCAATTTAGACGCGGTGACGCGTCAGAGTCTAAATTGCCCTGGTGTGAACCAGTATTTAATCACATTGTACATCTAATAGCCATTGTATTATTCGAGCACCTTTGTTTTTCATTTCATCTTCCTCGTCTGTACATAGAAGCTCTGGCGTTGGGGCAATATACCGTCCGTTTGGTACCAACATCTCCGAGCATTCGTTCAAACGCGGCTCTACTTCAGTTTGCGCGGCACTGTTTTGAGTCGAATCCGTCATTTGTCGTATAGTATCTTCTGTTATTTCATATTGCACGAGAACGGGTAAAGTCACATGGATATTTTTTGGTACTACGACCTCTTTACTCTTCTTTTCCTTTTCATCGTACATATAGATGAATGTCTTATCGGTTCGCCTTTCGGGGATAAATGCTATCTCACTATTGCTACTACTAGAACATACCTCTTCTAGTTCGACCGTCACCGAGTCGCACCGAGAAGCAGACGTAGTGCGAGAAATATCTTTTGTATCAGACGCCCGATTTGAAAGTTTTGTTCGAGTTCGTGATTTCTGAGTTGATTTGTGATTATTGGAAGTATTATCAGCAAGTTGCGACATGGTTGCACTGCTAGAAGTTCGTGATGTGGTCGCACCATTAGACGACGGCGATTCCGTCGCCCCTGTTGACGATAATGATCTACCTCTTCGCCTCGTATATTTCTGTGGCATTTCTTTTGTCGACGGGCTTTGCTTGCAAGTCTTTCCCGACTTCACTCGTGGTTTTCCTTCAGGTTTATTCATCATGTCTATTTATTATAAGGTTTGGATATAAGAAGTATTATAAACAATACAGTTTCACATGGTAACCCATATCCAATCATACATAGACTAAAGTGTGGAATATTACCATCCGTTCAAAGATCAAAGGTTGATACATGCGTTTATTTATCAAGTAACAAACAATGGCAATTGATATGTAATAATACCAAACTATGTGGCGATAGAAGACAGGTTTAATTATCGCAGTAAAATAATGAAATTGTGATCCATCCGACATGTAAAACGGAGACAAGGGGTTACAAAGTCCGCCGTTAGTACCATTCGCTATGACAACTCGTATAAATCACCGTTAGACCGTTCTACCGTCTGAACTTCAGTTGTAAACCTCAATTTGACCTGTAAAGGAAAAAAAGACCATAATCATCTCTTGAGACGGTGTGATGTTACTTGGACCAATCGGAAGGCGAAAGTTGTAAACAGTATAATCACGTAACAATAGCGTGATCTGCGTTGTAGGTGGTGGATTCGCTGAAAGTGAGCCCCCTACGTGAATTCCTTGAGGTAATGTCTGGGGCATTACAATAATGATCAAACAATACACATGAAGAACAATGTGAAGACACATAATTCACTTGAAGTGACTTCACGCCATTTTGACAGGCATTTAACTGTTCCCTGGATACAAGGAAACATCTGAGCATTCAGATTAAAACAATAAATTGCTCTTATAAAATAAGAAAATAAGTTATAATGGGACGTAGGTCTACATAGATCGAAGCAGCGATGTTTCTGCTCATAGACGTTTTGCTAGAAAAAAAATTAAAGATAGGAAGGGAATGTTGTTCTAATTTGCAAATAAAAAAAATAATAATTTTGGTAAAAATATAATAATTTTGAATTGGGGTTTATTGTTTAATACTGTAATGTATATTAGCCTAAACTACACCGACAGTCGTCGGGCCGATCGTTCGACGCAATTCCATATTTTGCAAAGCGACGAGGTGTTCGCAACAGATCGGTTTTAAATGACAATCCGGCCGACGACGGTATGCTTCTCTAACATTGGTACTGAAAAATGCTGAGCAATAATTTTAGCCCTTTGCACTCTCATTAGGGTTCCCCCCCCCCCTAAATCCCAGACCGCCATGGAACTAATAAACCTACTTACAAATTTATCCACTGCGTCATATTATAAGCTGCTGTGATATATAATTTATTTCAAATGTATTTGAGCATATTTCAATACAATACATAAAACATGACAATGAACAATGATAACATTTTTTTTTTAAATAGTTAATTTAGTAAAACATTTATAAAACCTAAGCGATTTATTTCCGTTGGGGGTCCCTTAAATAAAGAGTATAACATAAAAGTTGGTTAAAAATTAAAACAAACATTAACATTTGTTAAAAATTAACCTTAAATTTACTAATCATTAAAGTAAAATTAATAAAACAACCTTAAACCTTAAAAGTACGTAAACATGAAAGTTAAAAAGCAGGCTAAAACGGTAAGTATAACATTTTATTCAAAAGTTTATATTTAAAATATATTTATGTGTTAACACACTTTTACAGATTGTTTGTCGTCATTTCAGATATTGTTGCTAAATACAATTTCATTCGAATATAACAACAATGTTTATACGTTAAACAAAGCTCTTAAAAACAGCAACGTACTGTAGGCCTAAAAGAAGCAATGGAAATTATATAGCATACGGTATACTATAACTCTTTATAGTAACTCACGAATCGTGTAATCAACCGAGTTGAATCCCAACACGGTGGCGTGTATTTCAATACTTGGAGTATGTATTATACTTTCTTATCTGAGATTAATCAGTGGACCTTTCGGTACTATAACTCAGTATAAGAAAGTGTAGATTGGCATAAATGTGTTTAATAATAGACCGGACCATACCTTGTATTGACTGGTTTGTACGGGACAAACACTGACGGCCTATTATAGGCCTATTGTAACTCCGCCTTGGCTTTGATCTGATTCCGTGACTTCAGTGTCTCACTGGATGATCAAGAGGGAAATTAAACTATATTATAAGTAGATAGATCATTAATAGCTCCATAGTTCAATTTATCAGCTGAAGTGTCGGTACTAAATTAAGTAGGCCATTCCGAAATTAGGGATACGAAGTGTTGGATCAGAGTAGTCTGTTTACGGAACTGAAGCTCCCCTTCCTACGTTCTACATAGCGTGTTAAGTTCTTCAGACCGATCATATAGTGCTAATACATAATCGATCCCCGGTGGATGAGCTCACTATTAGTACCATTGTCTCTTATTATCCGTATTAACAGCAAGCGCCAGGGTCCTACTCGCTGCTCCTTGACACCAAAAGAATAGATGCGAACGTGCAGAGAGCCCAAAATCGTGTAATCAACCGAATTGCATAATGGTAGAGGCCAGTGGAGTAGGGCGCCGCGTATCGGCGGTGTGTATAATTTTCTAGGGTAGTGTTGTAG